TCTTCAAGTAAGGTTTGATATAGCTTTGATTTAAAAAGAATCTAATTTGGACAGGCCTCGGAGTTAACAGGGTAGACTGTTCCAGTCTTTTGCTGCCGAGAACTCAAATGTTTTTTTCTCCAGCTGTAGATTTTACTCTTGGAATGTTCAGAGTGCTGGTATCTCTAACAGTTGTTGTGTGCATCTCTGCTCTTCTTGTAAGTTTACCCTTTAACTGGCTGGGACAGTTCATATCATTGATAATCCTGAAAACTAAGAGAAAGCGTAAATAATGTCTCCGAATTTTTAAGGTTAAAACTCCTAGATTGTCACGTAGCTCTTGGCAGCAGCTTCTTCTATTGCTCTGCAGGCTGATCCTCATGGCTTGGTTCTGTAATCTGTCAAGTTTACCACGAAGTTTTTTGGACAATCCATCCATACAACACATCCATAACCAAATATTGGGAGCATAGTAGCTTTATATATCTTGAGAGGTACCTCTGAGCTAAGAAAATTTGTCAACCTCTCAGTCAAAAGTTTCAGCTTCAGATAAATTCTTTTGCAGATGTACTCAACATGAATAGACCAATTTAAGGTGCTATCAACATAAATTTTAAGGTACTTTTAGGATGAAGCTCCTTTCAATCTGTGATCTTGTAGGAAAACATCAAGTTCACTAGCTTTACCAATCGCATATTTTGTTCCAATTTCCATGGTTTTTGATTTGCCACGATGAGGGACCACATCATCGTGAACCAACCACTCACGAATTTTCACCAGATCACCGTTTAGAAATGAACAACCTCATCCATATCAAAATGTGAAGCATGGATTTCAGTATCATCAGCAAAAAATATTATGGATCCATTATTACTTGCTTTGGATATGTCGTTGTAGTGCTTAGTAAACGGGGTTGGTCCCAGCACACTCCCCTACGGAACTCCATAGTATATAGGGAGGGTCTAAGATTGAATACCATTTACCATGACGTATTCCTTCCGATCCTTTAAATAACTCTCTCTTCCATAACCCATCTGTACCACTTATCCCTGCATTTTTCAATTTCAACAGAAGAGTTCTGAGATTTATGATGTCGAACTCTTTTAAGGTCCAGTAATGCAGCTGAATTTATTCCTTTATTGTCCATTTGCAATCATCAATGAGAACAAGTAATGCTGAAGCACAAGATGAAAACTATTCTCCTAAGCAAAACCCTGTAACTGCCTATTTGCAAATTTCTCTAAAACCTTAGATAAGCAGGGAAGCACAGAAATTGGACGGAAAGCGTCACATGAGGTTGTGTCCTTAGCTTTTGATAGGGATGTAACTTTGGCGATTTTCCATAAATCAAGGAAAGCACCTCGTCTGAAAGATTCATTGAATAGATATGTAACACTCGGAGCTATCTGTCCTGCAGCAAGCTTAATAGCTCTAGCTAGTATGCCATCAGACCCGGTAGCCTTGGTTGGATTTAAACCAATTAGTGCTTTATACACTTCTTCATTATTTAAAAGCAACCTAAATTGTAAGGTTGAGTCACTGCCATTCACTGCATCAAACAATGGAACAAGAGGCTCAGACCTTCTTTCTTTGTCCGGGTATGTTTTTATCAAAACAGAAGAAGCAATACTGTTAAAATGGGAATTCATAACATAACATATCTGCTGCTGGTCTGTGATCACTTGGTCTTCAGTAACAATCTCAGTGATACCATACGCTTTCTTCTTACTTGGAAGAACATACCGAATGGTTTTCCAGAAGCCTTTTGGGTTGTTTCTGTTTTCCTCCAATTTGTTTGTGAAATAATTCCTTTTAGTTTTCCTTAGAATGTAGGTTATTTGATATCCAAGTAATCTGTATGATTCCCATGAAACTTCATCACCTGATTCAAGAGCTTTCTTATGGAGATGATCACGACGTCTCATGAGTTTTAGACTGGAACTTTATATCCATAGATAAGTGTTCTGTCTGATCCTCTTTTTCCTAAGTGGAAAATGCTTGTTTAAAACATTACTGAAGAACTCAGTCCATGTTTGGACCTTCTTATCGATGCTCAATTCTCCTTTAATTTTAGCCCATGGGATATTCTTGATGTCATCTTCGAAAGCAGAGTAACAGCCATCACTCTGACTTCGAGTTGTTATAACATAATATTTTTGATGTTGCTTTAAACTTGGAATAATCCCATAAATGGGAATACGATCACTTATTAAATTTTTCTGCGCTCCTGATTTTGAAAACACATTTGGAGTGGATGTTAAAATAACGTCGGTCAAGGATGTAGAACTAGATGAGATCCTCGTAGGATTGGTAATAATTTGCCTGAGTCCAATGACTTCCATGAAATTCTACAGCCCTCATTGTCCGCAGTGAAGTTTTATCAAGCAGGTTACAACTGATTTCTCTAGTGATAATAAACTGCTTTCCTCGCCGTGATTCTGATTTTAAAACATCATCTAGATAGCCAAAGAAATCAGGACAAGAAGAGCCAGGAGCTCTGTACACACAGCCCACGAGATAAGGAGAATTTTGAATCTTTATTGCACACCAGAGAACCTCAAAGTTCGTCACCTCCAAGTCTCGTCGATGTTTAAATTTAATACCATCAGCGATGTAAAGTGCACACCATAGGCGGAAGATTGTATTCACCAAGAAAAATACTAGATAATAGTACCAAAATACTAGGTGGAAGATTGTATTCAACAAGTTTCAAGAATGTAGCTTGGTTAGAAGACGCCCACTTAATTTTTCTAAATTTTCCATACATCTGTCTGTAAATTTGGCTGGGTAGACACCGCGGCGCGGAAATAAAAATTGCAGACAAATGTATGGAAAATTATAAAAATTAACTTAGTGAATGCAATCTTCCACCTAGTATTTTAACATTGCGATTCACAAATTGTATAAAATTCGATTTGCAAAAAGTTATTTGCCATCGGATCCCCATACAAACACTGTAATCTCTGACCGTTTTGCCTACCCGTCAAGATGGCGTCGAAAACCGTGATAAGGTCCTTTTTTTATTTCTAAGATCTTTCATTAGGTAACAAAGAAAGAAAAAAATCACTGATATTACCTGGGAAAATAAAGAACGAAAAAATAAGAATGAAAATGAGTATCGGATTATACTTGCTTTGCTGATCGGACAAGAAGCCGTACTTTCTTTATAATTGTCTCGGACGAGGATCACCAATAACCTCATGAATGTTTTCAACGGTGTTACATCTCCTCGTGCATTCTCTTACCGTTGCGTTTTGCCATTGGGATTTAACCTTAACTTAACCTATGAATTAAAACCTCAAGTCAGTGGAATCAAAATTGTCACCGTTTACAGACGATCCAGTTGTAATTAAATATTGCAAGTAAAATGTAAGTATGCTTGTTAAAAATCACATAAAGTAGCTGGCTGCACTTAAGTGGTCACTCAAATTTCAAAAACACACACACAAAAGAATCGCTCTTGCACCCTGTCAAATTAAATGCCTTATACTTTTTCAGGTTCTCGATTTCCCTAAAATAATATATTGAAAAATATAACATTTGAAGTTATTTGTTGTTATCGTTTGTTTTTTGGTGATGTTTTTGTCGCTTGTTAAGTTTCAGATAATTTTATGTTAATATTATATCATATGACTTTTTTTGCCTTTGTTGATGTTGTCGCAGATAATACTGTCGCTTATTAAGAATTTTTTCAGGCACGTGTACAAAAACCGCATAACTGATATATCACAACTTGGAAAGGCTGGATCCAAACTTGAGATCTACACATTGTAAGTATTTTTATACTAACCTTGTTATCGCTTATGAAAAAGAAATCAACTAATCACAAAGTATGGCAGATATAATCACTGGCCAACGGTAAAAGCGCGACACGCATTAAATGAATTCCTTCTCAACTTTTCAACTTAGCGAAAGTAAAGACGGCCCGTTAGAAAAGTGACTGGGTGGTGGGGGAGGTGGGACGTTTTTAGCTTGCAGGAGTTTTTCACGCCCATTGCCTCTAGAGGATTTTTTTTATTCGGGGTCAAGTCCCCTACAGGAATTTTGGGGCGGGAGGGGGCGAGAGTGGGAGGGTATTCTACACTCGCAATCTTAATCTTGACACTCGGCACAACCTGATTGCCTGGAAGTGGCTTCGAAAAATTATTTTTTACCCTTTCATTTTTTTACCTTATAGCACACAATTTTTTTTTAATCATTTTTAAGCCATGGTTATCTGTATGGGTTTTACTGCAAGGATGTTTGGCTACCAGGGTCCATGATGAGGTTGCTGCGCACAAAATGCATTAGCCTTGAAAGGGAAAAAGTCCGTTTTCGTAATTGTAGTGAAATCCAGGTGAATGTGGATTCCACCAGGACCAAGAAGTTAAAACTGCATTATAAAGTGACAGCCAATTGCCATTCAGGCGGGTTCAGTTTGTAGGCCAAACAATGCAAGTCACTCTGCAAGAATTTTTGTTTCCTTTTACTTCTTCTTTGCACGATTTTTTTTTCAGTCACCCTCCCTTGCATGAATTTTGTTTTCGTTTTCTCCCCACGCCGCTCCCCCCCCCCTCTTCACATTCCTTATGGTCCGTTCAATAACAATAATAATAATAATAATAATAATAATAATAATAATGGTCCGTCCCTTAACTTGGTAGAGCAAGTTTATTACCGGTCGTCAGAAAAAGGTATCACGCATGCACATGTATAATTATTGTATTTATTATAATACCCGAAGAATAACGAAAACAGGGAATATATCACAGATCTGGAACATATGTGTTTACTCAGCATTTTCCTGGCCTGGAGAACTAAACCCTGCAAACCCGTTGAATTATTCTAGAGGAAATACTACAGCATCAAGTGGTTTTACAGTTAAACCCTCCCCCCACCCGAGATCATAAATAATGACCAATCCCTATATTATTGATTGCACTAAGATGTCCTGGCAATTTTAGCGCGAGCCAGCATCTGAACAAAATCATTTCCAGCTGCTATGTAGAAATGATTCGTTCGGTTAAAAGATGAAAGAATAAAAGCGGACAAACCAATATCGACAAATCAACAGTCAAATTAGTAATTCCAAGCGAGCCTTACGATGTACTCTTTTATCTTCACTCCCCTCCCCCGACTCCATTTTGCATTGGAGAAAGGTGTTCGAAGTCATCGTTTAAGAAAAACATCTTCTGGGGAAGGTCTCACAAACAAATGTGCATGTAAATTAATCGTACTAAACATAAACGTTTTTTCTATCGACACTTGCCTTTCAGGTCACTGGATGACAATCAGATTAGTAACCTACCACCAAATGTATTTCAAAATGTATCGGTACTTGGAATTCTGTGAGTCTATAAAAAAGTGCATTTAGGGGCTCAGTGATGAGCCCATAGTTGTGAACAGTTTGGGTTTGTTTTGAAGTTTTATTCAGTGATTGAATAAGCTGTTCCTTCACTGACCCTCTTCACTCGTTCAGCCAAAAAAGGAAATTATGAATCATGGGTTATTTCAGAGTGAGTATTAACACAGGACATATATCATGATAAGCAATGCCAATGGGAGCCTCGTTGAACTGAATTCATGTGAATTGAAAATGCAAAGTATGTATGAATTCCGTCCGTGCGCCTGTAATCTGGCATTGGAATTTCAATAAAGTCTAATATGAATTCTTTCTGACGGCTAAAGGTCAGGGAAACTGGGAGACCCATTGGACTCAAAGAGCTTCTTGAAGCTACGAAATGACTAAGCCACTACAGCGAACACAGCAAAATGGGACTTTCTCAGTTTAAGATCATGCCTTATTATTTGAGTTTGTGACCTTGATCTGACGAAGAGCTAACACTCGAAACATCAGCTACAGCGGTTAATTCACTTTTCACCCCCAACCTTTATCATTGATAAAATGGCTATGAGTTTGTTGCTGATTGTATAGCGCCTGCCGCTCCCTTGACATTTACAGGGACTTTAAGATATGGCACGGCTAGGCTGTAGTAGGGCGGCAGATAATAAAGATCACTTACGGTGACGTCATGACGCGCGTACCAGTACGGTTTTCCCGCCGTAGCCTTGCTTTCTACTACAAAAAAGTGCCTGGTTTCACGTACTCTTCACTACGTGAGTATAAGCATGCTGTTTACTTCTCACTTTAACGCTTTTTTCACTGTTTGAACAGCCTAGTTTGAAGATAAAGTTCTCAATCATAAAAATCAGTTCTAAGATGATTGTTTCCTTGTCATTTGTACAGAAAATTTGAACGATTTTAACACCTACCGCAAGGTGATCAATGCGGTAATATTAGTATCGGGCCGAACAGCCTTAGACAAGAAAGCTTCGTATGATCTAATCTGAGCTATAATTGTTTATTACTGTTCAAAATGTATTTCATTATAATCGAAAGTTTTGTATTTTCGGGCTTATCACGTAATCGTTGAACGAACAACCTGTCCGTGTTGAAATCGAGTTTTTCTTTTTATATCAGAGTTTATATTTTGTTTTGTGGTTGGAATTATAGACGGTTCTATCAAGTTCTAAAAGGCAAATCTGAGTTCTGGGAGACGTAAGACGGATACAGGAGTAGGAAATCATTGTCATTAATTAAGTCTATTTCGTATGAAAGTAGAATAATCTCTGGTTTCCTTGAAAGTAGTCATTTTTGTAAAGACAAGTAGAGACTGCACATACCGTTGCCTTACAGCAAAATCTTAAATCATTTGAGTTTGGCGGGTAAAACACCGTTGTCAGCCTAGTTCCTCACAGCCAAAGTAGCCGTAGTAGTGATTTTGATTTGCTGCCCATTGATCAACTTTGTTTTTAAAGGCAACAATTAAAGCATCTCTATTCATCTATTGGCTCTTTCCCTTGTCTTTATGTTTACAGTGATCTGTCTTTCAACAATATTCGAGCAATACCAAACAAAGTTTTTAGCGGATTGCAAAATTTATCAACAATGTGAGTATTGATATGATTTGTGGCCAGACAAATAATAAATAAACATAAAGTCAAAAGAGACTAAAACAATGCTATATAGCTGGCGTTTTTCCCGCTACAGCGCGCCCATTCATTGGCTGGTTCATGGTCACATAACGTCTAACGATGAAACTGTTTATCGCCAAATGCCATGAGCGGGCAACATTGCGAAAACTATGACGTCAAACGGTAAACAGGGGCGCTTTCCATTCGACCAAAAATTCCGAAATTTTCGAAACGGGGACAAATGGTACGGAAATTTTTTGAGAAAAGTTCCAGAAAATCCGGAAATTGTTGAATTTCCGAAAAGCGAACCATTCAACCGAAAATTCTGGAAATTCCGGGATGAAAATCAATGGAACGGAAATTTCCAGGAAAATATGTTCGAAAATTTGGGCGTACCTCACGAGGTTGTCCTCTTCTTCGGAAATTATGCAAATTCGCAATTTTCTATTCAGCGCTAGTTCTTTTGGGCGCGATGACCGCGAGTTGGACATCTCACGCAAGGATGACGTCGACGCGCATTCGAAAATTGAAATACTTTAGAATCTTTCCACTTATATGTTGATAAATATTCGTGAAGAAAGCGTTTTATTAAAATAATGCCCCTGTGGTGTACTTGCTTGTTTTGCATAGGTTGGCTAAGAAATGCACAAAGATTTATAAAGCGTGCAGAACCATTGTACGGCTCATTAAACCCTTTGTTTTGCGACGTTTTCGCTGCGTACCGTTGTGGTTTGTATAAGGTCCACGCTGTTGTGGTCTATAAAAAGTCACGGTGTCGTCATATCAATGTTCTGTTTGCTTCTATATTTGCGATTTAAACCTCAAAGTCATTGAAAAATTCCAAGCGAACAAAACTGTGCGGCTTGTCGTTTTCCACACTGGAAAAGTCTGTACCATTCGCCCATGGAAATTTCCGGAAATTCACACCGGAATTTTTGGTCCAATGGAAAACGCCCCAGTTTACTGTTACCTACGAAATGTTGACCACTGTTGCAAGTGATCAGAGCATGCAGTTGAATGTGCCCTGATGTTGTCGCTGGAATCTCAACGGGAAACAGAATTTGTTTTGCGGGAATTTGTTTTCCCTGATAACAAATTACTTAATGACTGGTCCCTTGGGGAACAGTAAATTGTTTCCCTTGGATCTCAATGTTTCCCTCGACTTCGTCTCGGGAGACATTGAGATTCGAGGGAAACAGTAATTTTTTTCATCATGTTAACGTTTCTCAGATCACTCGTGCAATAAGATCTTCAGTTTGATGTTTGGAGTTTTCTCTTTTTCCTATTTTGGAGTTAAGTGATTCTTAGCTAGCTGGTCGTTACCCTTTATGAAACTAAAGCGGTTGAATATATGTTAACTCTTAAACTTATCTTGAACAAAAACTTTCTTTAGTAAAGAATTTTAAAACGTAACAGCTAACAGTCCTAAGATCTTAAGTCTTTGAAAACGTTTTTTAAGCTTACGTTTCACTGAAACGTTTGACCAGAAAACGTTCTTATTCAAGATAGTTTGCAATCCTGGTTACTCCTCCATTTTTAATTATAATAAACTAAAACATTTCTTTGTTCATGAATCCCTAACCATATCTGTAAAACCATAATTTAGTGCAAAACACTTTGCACAAGAATTGTTGTATAATTTTCTTTGTCTTCAAAGGTACCTAAGCTTCAACAAGATCGCCCAAATCAACAACCGCACATTCGCTGGACTCAAAAACCTACTTGTTCTGTAAGTTAATTTAATCAATGAGCCACGATCAAACAGTTCGACGTCACTGTCAACAACATTTGTAAAATATGTAATATTTGGAAACTAGCCCAAGGGATAACGGCCATCCGTTTCACATTCCTAAAATACAGTATAGGGAGGTTGAAGCCCTACTTTATTTACTTTCATTAGAATGGCTCTCTCATTCAATTTTGAACCGAATGAAGTGAGCGTTGTTCCATAGTCAATGGCTTTCCTATGACAAGATTCGAAACCATGACCTCCTCAATACCGGTGCGTTACCCACCAAGTTGAGCCAGTTGAGCTGTGTATGGAGTAGGTTAATTATAGACTCTAAACCTTGTGAAGTATGCTTTTAAAACTCAATGTTGAGGATATTGTTGATATATTAAAAATGAGCGCTGATCACTCTGGGAGACAATTTTCAGGGACCTTACGAATTTACTTACAAATAGATCAAGTGAAGCTCAATAGCTATTAATACCTCCTCCTTGTTTGCCCATCTATTCATATAAAATCTTACGTCATTATTTTGTTTTTCTCAGGGCGCTGATCAAAAACCATTTGACTTGTATCCCTAATGGCGCTTTCGCCGAAACCTCTTTGCAATCTTTGTAAGTAAAATAAATAAAGCAAAATTTCATCAGCGATGATAAACATACGAAATAAACATATGTAGTCTCTTTTTTATACCTTTTTCTGAGGACATAACTTATATATCAGAACCGCGCTAATAAGCTGGGCAACGACGACAACTCTTATGTCGTTAAATTGTGATGTTTACTTTGACTAGCATACAGTGTAAGCCAATGTAATTACGCTGATTGATTCATTACATGTTTGTTATATTTGTCGCCTGTTACTTTCAGAGGGGGTGAATAGGTCTTCAGATCGACGGATTTGGCACAAATTGTGGATTTTTTCGGTGAATCGAGCTGATTCGCGGATTTCGAAAACACAGTGGATCGTGGATCAGCTGTGAATTTTGGCGCGGATCTCGGATTGTGCCTGTCTTGATGTTCGGACTTGGGTCCTAAACCAAATTTGGATCATAGATCTTTCTTCAGCCTTGATCGCTGTGTTCATGAGTTCATCCAAATTATTTTTTTTTTCGAACAAAGCTCATTTAAACTCAGGTTTGAGACTGTTATTGGAATTGTACTGTTATAGTCATCAAACGTTTTGCCTTCTTTACTATTAAATTTTGTGCGAAATTAACAATGGCATTCACATTTACCAGTTTGCCTTTAAACTTTTACACTTCTGTTTCTGGACGTGGTTGCGGTGTCGAATTTGAACAAAAATATTGGCGGATCGACGGATTTGGTGAAAAAAAGG